GGATCCGCCATCAGGAGCTGATTTCAAGATATGATGTAGAAGCAGGAGAAGAGCACATGGGTAGAAAACATGACAACAATTGGTAAGGGCTGGTGAGGGGCGCTAGAACTCCGCAAAATTTATAACGCGTGGTTCAACAGCAATGAGGCGGTGCTTCTAATAGGTAAGACGAAGATAGCGGAACAGGACATTTTGATGAATGAATGTATGAAATGAAAGTGAATTACTATGTTGCTTTATTACTAGCACTCTACTAACCTTTCATTATTAGCAACAGTCAGATCCATTGAAAACACGCATGACGTTCAGTAGTGCCCAGCTATGCTCTGTTTTACTGGAGCTTCTCTGACGTGCGCGCGGTAGCGAGCGGAGCCAAACCGGTGAATAAATAAAGATTTATTAAAAAAACTGAGAATATGTGACGACTGTCGCTGAAACTCCACAGATTGTGTGTACTTTCAAACTAATCAAACCCCTAGTTAGCAGTTCCCAAAAGTGGTCAACATCGATGATGTAGCAAACTACTGATGGGTCTGCGGCGAGCCAAGCATGGTGGGCCATAAAAGTGGGGAAATTGTGGAGGGATTAGAGATTATAGGATGACCAGGCTGAGCATCATCGGCTGAAAAAGAAAGCAGAACTAAAATAAGAAAGACTTGCGCTAACTAACATTGGATGTAGTGCTGAGTTGCTGTTATTCTCTTTCTACTACCATTCTATTTTATAACCTTGATGTTTTGTTTGTCTGTACAGTACTCGCCGTTTGAAATCGAAAATTCACGCGAATAACGCGAATCCTCGTTAATTTCGTGAATTCGTTATAACTCGGTTCAAAATTGAGCTTTCGAGAATCCGAAGATATCTTTGAATTCAGCTCGTCGGACACTATAAGAATGTGCTTTGATACTTTGGAAAAGCTCCATATAGGATTGCGCCATGCACTCGATTTTCATCTCAAAAAGTAGTTGCTCGCATGTGATGTGTATATAATCCCGCTTATGCGGGCTGACCGCTACACACAGAAGAAGGGCCTCAAAACTTACCCCAGAATGCGCCACGTACTCAATCTCATCCACTACATTGTGAGATTAGATGAATGTTATTTTCCGAATTCTTAGATCTTCATTTCGTTTTTAAGCGCTTACTGGCTTTACGTGTTCCCTCTGCTCTCAATATCCCATCCTCTGTATATCAAGTGGAATCTTTGAACAGTTCTCAGCAGGCATAGTGGGCCTATTATGTGACATTTTCCATTTTCAGAGGAGATGTTTTGCAGAAAGCTGTGAAGATAGCGAACAATTTCCTTCACTGTCGTAGACTACGGTCACTTGTCTGTAGGAATTATGTGGAAAACTCGGTCGCAGTAGCGTTCCTTCCGTGGTGTGGCCCCAAACATGCCTCCTCGTCATGCCCTTGTGGAATGTTCAGATTTTTTGCATTTCCAGATGAACTCGCAGACCTGAAATGTGCCCCGTTAGCTTCCCGTGAAAAATGCTATCGAATGATATGCATTACTTCCCCAGTTGAAACTTTGGTTTTTCACCGTTTTCAGCCTTCCCCTATTGCCGGATTGGGCCCACGATTACTGCCCCAAAATCTCAAAGTTTCATTTTTCGTCGAAACTTTGTCTATTGGGGTAATTCGATGCCCTGATTACGAATATGACATTCATTTTTGATGCTGGTGTCATTTGGCCATTTGGCGCCATTTGGCGCCACGGCTGTTTTCACCAAATCTGCTGAAACTTCGTCCTTATTGGGGTTTGTTTGGCAGAAGTCCTGAGTCACGAATATAAAATCCTTTTGACGCTCCGCCATTTGGCGCACCGTTGGCGCCAAGATCTTGGGAAAATATAACACCGTTTTTAGCGCTACGGCTGTTCCACAATCCGCTGAAAAAGCTGTATAGGGGTCAGGATGGGTCTGATCACGAATATATAACATCCAGTCTTGACGCCGGCGCCATGTGGTGTCACAAACAACACTTCACAGTCAGAGCGTACTCTTAGGCACCTTTCTCAGAGCGCCGACTGTCAGACCGTGGAAAAGGTCATCGAATCGGAGACTTTCCCACGACAGGAAGGAGCCAGAAGCATGTTTCACGTTTTCGACAACGGAGAATAACGATGGCTCTTGCTACTCTTTAGCGACACAATCGTCAGTGAGAGCTACTGGACTTAGCAAGTATGCTTCTGGCTTAGCTCACAGTTTTCCACGGTCTGGCTCCTTCCTGTCGTGGGAAAGTCTCCGATTCGATGACCTTTTCCACGGTCTGACAGTCGGCGCTCTGAGAAAGGTGCCTAAGAGTACGCTCTGACTGTGAAGTGTTGTTTGTGACACCACATGGCGCCGGCGTCAAGACTGGATGTTATATTCGTGATCAGGACCCCAAATAACCCCTATACACACGTTTTCAGCGGATTTGGTGGAAACAGCCGTGGCGCCAAATTGGCGCCAAACGGCGCCAAATGGCGCCAGCAAAAAACGGGTGTCGTTTTCGTAATCAGGACCCCAAATAACCCCAAATGACGAAGTTTCAGCAGATTTGGTGAAAACAGCCGTGGCGCCAAATTGGCGCCAAATGGCGCCAAATGACACCAGCATCAAAAATGAATGTCATATTCGTAATCAGGGCATCGAATTACCCCAATAGACAAAGTTTCGACGAAAAATGAAACTTTGAGATTTTGGGGCAGTAATCGTGGGATAGTGCCCAATCCGGCAATAGGGGAAGGCTGAAAACGGTGAAAAACCAAAGTTTCAACTGGGGAAGTAATGCATATCATTCGATAGCATTTTTCACGGGGAAGCTAACGGGGCACATTTCAGGTCTGCGAGTTCATCTGGAAAGAAATGCAAAAAATCTGAACA